TAATAACATAAAAGAAAATTTATTTTGTGTGTTTTTTTTTAACGAAATGATTTTTAATAAAAGAAAAAAATATATAAATATTTATATATATATTTTGTATATATATTTCTCAGTGCATATATTTAATCCATTTAATCAGCTAGCTTGTGGCTAATAAATAAATTGCCGCAAAAACAAATCAAATAGAGTAAAAAAATATTAACTAGAGTTAATTAAATTTGTCATGCTTTATTATTAGCAATTTGCAATTTGTAATTAGCAATTTGCATTGAATGCATTAAAAATGAAAGAAACTATCAACACACGGCCACCATCAAGTTTAAATACGTACGTTTTATTTATGTATATGCATATATAGTATAGTACACACATATATATATATATATAAAGCCGCAAGCACCGCTCCAATAGTGTCAGTCAAAGCTGACTCCATCAGTCATTATCAACCAGTCAATTACTGTAATTGAAACCAGATGAACATTTTAATTTGCATTTTTGCATTTAAATTGTTTGTGTTGCTAGCATTTTTTTCTCTTGCTTCGGCAGCATTTTGTTTGCTAAGCACGCTGTTGGCTGTTGTGGCATTGGTGCAACGTTTTGTTTTATTATATAGCAAAGTAATCTATATATTCACATACATATATACGGACTGAGTGTACGTCAAATAAATTAACTAACTTTGTTTGTTTCTTAAAGTGTGATAAAAGTAATGATCTTCACATTTGCTTATTACAAACTATTTATTCATTACATTTTTGCATATAAATTGCTAATAAAAAATGCATGAATAAGCACACATACATACATACATATATATATATATATATATATATATATATATATATATGCAATATTTGTTTGTATGTATAAGATAAAAGTTGTTTTATTAGCACAAACTAACTGACGAGAGTTTGATACGATTTCAATAAATTAATGCTATTAAAAAATCTTCGTCCAGATACCATTTCGGGAATTTAGTATCTCTAGTTCTCAGAAAAATTCTTAAGACTTTGAGTTCTGTAGAATATTCTGCAGTAAAATGCCTAAATTATTTACTTTATCCTCAACTTATAATCGTTATTTGCTGGGTATTAAAACATTTTCAAATATTATTATATATTAATTATAATATTAGTAGAATAAAATGTACAAAAAATATCGATTGAAACCAAATTTATTGATAAAATTTTGACAAAAAGAAAAATATTCTAAAATATCGTTAGAATATTAAAATCAATTTTTAAATCATTAAGAAAAATACACTTACAGCTATACCAAAAATGTAATGCATTTCATTATCATTTTGAATCCACATCATTAAAACGAGTTAAAATGAAAATTATTCACTGACTCGACAACAAAGAAAATTTAAAAAGAATAGCTCTTTTCGGCAAAGCTAAAATCTTTACACAAGGATTTCTTTTATATTTCAAAATGTGAGAACGAAAACAATCAGTATTTAAAGAAAATAGATTATGGTGGTAGATACAATTACACGGTCAATAATTACGCATTGAAAAACATTTTGGTATAATTCAATGATTATAAAACTTTGTACACTCATTGAAATATAGATGAGGAATGTAAATTTTTTTTTTTGAAAAGGGGCCGGCGGCTGTGCGCTGAAGTCGATCTCCAAAAAAAAAAAAAAAAAAAAAACGGCAACCACTCTGGACGTAATGTTATTGATCTGTAACAGCCCATAAAAAACTTTTAGCTTAAATATGCATGTAATTTGTCGGTAAATCCTAAAAATTAAAAAAATAATAATAATAATTCTGCGTTTGGTAGAAGTTTTTTTTTAAAAAAAAAAAAAATAATTTTCACTATTTTTACAACCATCATTGCAACATAAAAATTCTAAATCATTTAGGTTCACAGACAAGTCTAAGGTATAAAGAAGAAACCCAAAAAATTTCAGCTAATTTGGACAAGTATTTTTCGAGTAATTGTGGTTGCCAATTTTAAAAATGTTGTTTTGAAGAACACCGGCTATGCACTGAAAAAGGCATTCTTGAAAGATTAAGAAAAACATGTAAGGGGTTCGATTTTCGATCTGAAACCTTTCGGAAACGTATTCTATGGGAAATTTCCTAATTTTTTAAAAGAACAAAAAAAATATAGTTTTTTGATCTTCTAATTTTCGATTACCAATAAAGGGGGTAGTAATTGGTAATCGAAAATTTTCTATCGTTTCGATTGAAATAGTTGAAAATATTTTTAATAAATTTCTTTTCGTTTTTACCCGAAACGGAAAACTGTCGTTAATGTTAAATCGTTAACAGATAATCTTAAACTTTAAAATTTAAGTGTTCTGTTAAATCATAGCGAGCCCTTTTAAAATTAACGCTAACGATAAATTCCATTTTGACAACAAGGCGCCTAAACGAAACGACTCAATTTCGTTGAGTTATTTTTTTTTTTATCTTAACAGAGTGCTGTCCCTGCATTTATTGAGTATTTCTGGTTTGAAGCAATTGTGGAAGCACTTTTGCCACTTTGATTGAGGTATCTTCAACGCAACTCTTCACGCACTCATCGACTGCTTCTTCAGACTTTTCAGTTACGGATAGACGGACGAGAATTAAATGAAGTACTTTGTGACCAAGTCAGTAATAAGCTGATGTATTGTTTGCCAAAGAGAAAGCTGGCACTGTCATGGTGATGAGTAGTGCCTCGTCTTGGGCGGTTAGTTTTCCTGAAAGACGGCTGGCAACAAAACTTGTTTACCAATTAGAATTGAAATGTTCAGTTTAAATAAGAAAACAACCAGCAATCATTTGGTTATAAGTGCATCTAAACCTTTTGCTGTATTCGACTCATTACTTTTGGGGTTATACCTGTAAGTCTGGGATACATTAATTGTTATGCTACTAGACGTATTTCGAAGCACCGCTATAGCAATTTTTTAACATTTTTCTTGTCCAATCAAAACGTGCCTTTTTTAAGCGACTCACAAATTGTGTGGTATCCAACGTAAAGAATTTTTTTTACAGTTAAATTTTCATGCAATACTCAATGTATGCTGATCCCAGTTATGCCTCTAGTCGTCTCAATCTCACAATCAGTCTCAAGGCGATATTGCAGTATCAGTTTACATAAAGATTCAACTTAGAATATCAACTGATTTTGGACGACCTTCACGAATTTCTCCTCGAAATGCTCTACTTCAACAATTGAATTCACCATAACATCGTTAAGCACTCGTCGCTTATGGAGCTTCATTGCCAAGAACTGTCTTGTTGCAGAGTTAATCCACGTCGATAATTGTAAACAGTGCACACTATTGCTGCTGTAGAACAAAGTATGGAACAAGAGCCGAATGAGTTCCTCTACCATCGCGCCCAACAATTGTATCTGTGTGGATAATTTTGAGAAAATATATGTATTGGGATGCGAGCTTACAAAATCCAACATGCGCAGGAAGTGAAACCGAGATGGTCACCGACATAGATTTTCACAAGGAAATTTTGTTTAGCGATGAAACTCAGTTTTGGTTGAATGTCTACGTTAAAACACAAAATTGACGCAGTTGTGATGATAATCTACAAGATTTTGTTGAGGTGCCGTTTTGTTCTCAAAATTATCACTGTTTGTTTTGCTCTATGGACAGAGGGAATTATTGGTTCATATATTTAAAAAATGTTAAAGGATAAGGGTATCCCTATGGAGTCCTGATAATGACTTTTTCTTACCGGAGTTGAAGGACGTTGATGTGGACCACCTTTCATACCAACAAGACGGCACTGCATGCCACGCAGCCAACGAAACAATCAATTTATTGAATGAAACATATAGTTATCTCGCGGCATAGGCTTGTGGCTATGTGCTGATAATAAATGCAACTTCTACTGACTTCACGACAGATTTTAACGTTGTTATCCCGGAAAGAAACCTTTGGGACAGGTTAATTCCAACAAATACCGACTTTTTTTTTAATTTACGACGAACCCACGAGGGGTCCGTCTGAGGGAAATCGAAAAATCCAACAGACCGGTGACCGAAAACCAGTAACAGTCCGGACTGCCCTGAACCTGAAACCGAACGCGGAAGGTCGCGGTTGCACTTGCCTCTTACACCAAACAGCTACAGATTTGTTCATCAGCTACTATAAAATTGCATGGGAAAAGAAGAGAGAATTTATTTAATTATTCAAAGCACTTAGTAAGTAGATTTTGATACAGAATTTGATACACAAAGATCAAAAAAGGTCGTGCATTTCAAAGTTTGTTCTGCACGAGCCCAATGAAAGGTGCCCAAAGTATATAGATGATCTTAAGGGGATGGTAAAGTTAAGCTCGCTCATTAGGTTCCTCTACCATGAACCTGTTAATTGTCTCAGCACAATGGTGCGCGCTGATAATCGTATCCATATTTTGCGTATACCCAAACTGTAAAAAAATCCCCTGGAATCTGTAATAGTGGAATCTTAAACCGCCGCAGATCACTTAACGTTATGAGTAAACAGTTCTCTCTCAATCAACTATGTGTACCTGGACACAGTAAGATACCGGGTAATGAGATGACAGAGGAGCTAGTAAAGTTAAGGAATTCCTCTTCCGAATTTTGCCATCATGGAAAAGTTCGGGCTGCGACACTCCACTAACTCCGCTAACTTAAGGCGAAGAAGTCTCAATTCACGTAATGTGACCTACACTATATCGCCAGAATGCAACGGAACAAGGTCACGTGATCCGATCGAGCTAAAAAGGGGCCAACCAACCGAACTTTGTTTATTTTCATTTATTTTTATTTATTTTATGTAAGCTTAACCTAAAAAAGGCAACAGGAATGACCTGCCACTCCTTATTCCGAGTGAATGAAATCAATATACATACATATCTCATATTAAATAAGTTCGATTCTCTTAAAAACTTATTTATAATTTATTTTGTCATAAATATTTAGGGTAATGTGCCGCCTCTGTTGCTATTTGTGTATATGTATAAAATGTATGTTGTCTACCGTAGGTTACGATGAATTATAATTGTCAGCCTTACCTGTATACGCGCCTCAGTAAGTCCAATTTTCATGGCCAACTCCTCTCTGAAATATATAAAAAATAAAAATAAAACAAAATTATTAATTAAATTAAAAAATATGAAATCGAATTGCTTAGAATTTAATTTAAATATCTATTGATGGTTATAAATCTCAAAAAATATTTATTATTCATTGCTTTGTGATTTTAATTACACATTTTATATGGCTAATTGAATAATCGACTGTTGAGACTAATGAAACAATAGAAAATTGATTACAAATTGAACGACGTTTATAGTAAATTAAAAAAAAGAAATAAAAGCAATACTTGTGTGTATATTATAAGGAAAAAGTGCATATATAAATACATAAATACAAATGCAAAACGAGTCACTGATTGTTGGCCATAAAACGTAATAAGAGTTCACTGAGGAAATGGTAATATGAACGTAACAAGTTGCAATTGAATTAGAAATCTAAACATACAAACAGATATGTCTAAATGCCACATATATATAAGTATATATAACAAGTATTGTACGGCTTTGCCTAATAAGCAGTAAAACTTCAAAGTCGGCTGAAGACATATAAGTATATAAGCGTGTGTGTGATTGTATTGTGTATAATTGCTTGTATTGATTTTCTATAACTAAAAAAGGAGCAATTAGCACACAAAAGCTAAGCAAAGAGACCGCATAATGCATGAAGTATGAAAAAATAATAAGTAAAAAGACGCTGCCTGAATTCCACATAAAGGAGTGTCAAAAGGATCATTAACATCTCCACTTCCCCGCTTTCAACAAAATTATAATATCGGTTCCCCAATGTGATGTTTTCTGTTTAAGGATGACAAAAATTTTTTGCGCTTAATTTTTATTTTATGACGAAAACGTAAAAGTAGTCTTATTTAGAGATTTCAAATGACTTCCTTTTATTATTCTATACTAAAACTATCCAGGAATATGTCTTCAAAAAATCATTGGCCATTTCAATTTATTTCAGAATTTTAGTGACCGATAGTCGAGCAAATTTGAATGCTCGGGTAGAACTTTGAGGCGCGTTTTCCCAAGTTCTAATTTTTCTGGGAAAATGATGCCGGTGATAGTAAAAGAAATGTCTGATCATGAAAAATAAAAGTGATCTAATTTCAGTAGTAAATTATCTTCTATTTGAACAAACTTAAATTTAAACATTTTTTTCACTTGAAGTGATTTTTTTTTTCAAAAATGTAAATATATTTTTTAAACTTCCGAAAAATTTGGAATTTTTTAACTTCTTCGGTATTTTTCTAGTTGATATGTTGTAGAAGAGGCAATCATAAGAATTTAAAAAAATTAATTCGTACGACCGTTTCAGATGAATCGCACGACCTCCGTCACCGAAAAATTTACGAAAATCCTCGGCCATCGTCAACGCGGTTTGTAGACCACTAAAAACAGTTTTTTTTTAAAGAGTCTACAGATTTGTTTAGGGCCGACATTAAGAATATGAACGCTCAGATTCTGCGAATTGAGCCCACACGATTGAGCCGTTTTTCAGTTCATCACAAATTGCAGCTTACAAGAATGGATGGAAAAGTCTTCAGCGTAATTGCGGAAATGTTGACTCACTCTTAAGGCGGTTTGTGCCAATAACGCCTCTGCGCCACTCAGCTTACCCCAATCGTCCTTAAAGTAAAAACTGTAGAGGCACATAATTTCCACGGAGAATCATGTTAAAAATCACTTTAATTTAATTTCCAATATAAACACAACACTTTTGGCAACATTTCCTACAGCGACGAATAGCAATGTTGCATGCCACACGTTAGCTACGAGCACACATACGCACACACACAAAGACGCAGTGTAGTGGTAAGTGGCTTGTGCAACGGTAACTGCAAGAAAAGTATGTATGAAAGTACACAATAAACGATGCTATTAAAAGGTGATCTGAGGCCACACGGGCCAGCGAAGCCAGTTTGCGCTGCAGCGACGAGTGCTGCGGTAATAACAGCGCCAGCACCGGCACCAGCAGCAGCAACGGCAACAACTACTACACAGCCATAATGTTGGTAATGACGATAATTTGCTTAATGGATTTTCATGTTTTCTGTAATTGAATTTATTTTAATTAAATTTTAAAATTATGCGCTGACGGCTGGCGAACGTGTTGGCGGCTGCGCAAAATTTGCTCGCAACATTACAATGCAGTTTTTAGTTGTTGCTGTAGCTATTTTTTTTTCTTCCTTTTCGTTTTCTTTAGCTGTACAACCGGGAAATTGACGCATTAGCTGTTGTTTCAGCGCTTTTCGAACGCCCCGACCGACCGCGCATCGCGTAGCCAAAGGATAATGGATGCCTACGTTGCAACGTTGCAACGCCCGCCAAGTGCGACGCCGGTTTTTATGTGTGGGTTTAACGACATTGCTTTGCGCCGCTGCTGCTGTGTTGCCGCCGGCTACATATATATGTATGGTGTCGATAGTTCGGTCCGGGCCGCGCGAGAGTGCCATGAAGTGTGTAATTTTATGCGCTCGCGCGTACATTAATTGATTATAATTCCGTCAGATCGGGCTGCAAGGTGGCGTCGGCGACGGTGGCGATGGTGGCGAGGGGCAGAGTGGAAGTGGGCGAATGTGTTGGAATAGTGTTGCACTGCGTAGCGGTAGATTTGATGTCGGTTGATGGATGCTGTGGCGGAGTGTGAGAGAGAGTGTATGTGTGTGTGTGTGTATGTTGCATTAGTTACTCGTTATTAGCTTGCAATCTTTTTCCATACTCGTCACGACAATCATTAGCAGGTGTTTGCCAGCTTTGTTAATAAATATTTTGACCAACACTGGCGACGGCGACGGTGGCGGTGGCGATGGCGATGGCGGTGACGGTCAAGCTTGCCACCTCACAATTTGCAGCAATTTATTATGTGCGTGTGTGTGGCGAGCAAAGAAATTTGCCTGCTGTCAGCAAAAAGCGCACAGCAGCAAGCAGCAATTGCTTCTGAACCGCCTCCTTTTTATTGATGCTTTTGGCAATTTGGGCTTTTCGCTAGCCCGTTGGCATGACGTGGGCACTTAATACACGCACATACTCTCACACATCTATATATTGTATAAGTGTATTCAGACCTCTGTTGTTGTTTTTTTGTCTATTTTTTTTTAATTTTTTCACTAATCAATTTTACACTGATTGCACGCAATTTGTCACTGGGTCAGCGCATTAATCAACGTGTCGCACGCATACACACATAAAGACTCGTACAGGCATACACAGGCCTTAATTTACGCAATTTGAAAATAATTTGTCTGCAATTTTGTGTAAATCATGCAAATTTTCACTGCAATTACACATATTTGGGTGGGTCGGCGGCACCCGGTGGTGATTATTCACGTTAATGGGTAGTTAAAATTTAATCTTGTTAAAGAGAAACACGAATCCATGGTGGGCTTCTTTGAAAAGTATGCTGGGAAGTGTACGTTTTGGTTTTTATACGAAACGAACGGAGTTAATTAATTGGCGATTTATAGCCGATGAAGTGATTTTCGGTTAAGCTCCATCTCCAATTTGTGGTGTGCGTTTTAATGGGGGTTTCCAACAAACGGAGATTCTTAAAGTTTATTCTAAGCCGCCTCCGCATGTTCAGAAATGCTCTAGGCGGGGATGAAATTCTGTGTGAAGGTGCAACCCTTTTAGAATCTCGAATTTCAAGAGTTTTGGATGCCTGTCTGATTTATTGTTGCCCCATATAAGACATACTATATAGCAAGCTCATCTGAAAATGGAACTCGTTGAAATTTAGCAGAGAAGTTTTGTCTGCATCAGTGATGTCCTTTTGAGCTATTCAATTTAACCATTAATTTAACGGCAACGAAAATCCTCTAATGGGTTGAGGCTGATTGACTTCGCTGTGCCTCGAAATATGGTTGACTGTAGTGCTAAATCCCAGCACGAGAAAATACATCAAGCTACTTGGCTGCCCCTGATCGAGAAACACAAAACCAAATCGATCATGTTGTGATAGACGGAAGACATACCTCCAGTGTTATGGACGTGCGTACGCTCCAAGAACCAAAAATCGACTTGGACCACTATCCTGTTGGGAATCGCCCGCTTAAAAAACAACAAAGCGGCGGGAGCTGACGGCCTACCGGCAGAGCTTTTTAAACATGGCGGCGAAGAGCTGACAAGGTGCACGCATCAGCTATGGTCGGATGAAAGCATATGCGACGATTGGAATTCAATTATGCTCTGCCCAATCCATAAAAATGGGGACCCCAAAGTCTGCGTCAACTACCGTTCGATAAAACTCCTTAATATCGCCTATAAGGTCCTGTCGAGCGTAGTGCGTGAAAGACTAAAGGCCACGGGCATGTGTGGCTTAAGATCTGGTAAGTCAACCATTGGCCAGATATTCACCATGCTCCAAACCCTAGAAAAAACCTATAAAAAGATCATCGAAAAAGTCGTCGATTCTAAAGCAGCCTTCGACCTCTACGCTGCTATGTCTGAGTTTGGTATCCCTGCAAAAATTTGTATGGCTCTGTAAGCATCACCAGCTCAGTCAGATTCGGACAGTGGCTCTCTGAACCGTTCGACACCAAACGATGTTTCAAACAAGGTGTTTCTAAATCGACATTGACTTCGGTGGCTTTAACAGCCGCCCCAGAAATTATGCTGTCTTAAGACTTGATTAGAAGCGAAGCATATGACTCTGGTAGTGAACGAGTGCAAGACGAAATGCTCCTGTTGTCAAACAAACAGTCATTGCATTTGGGCCATCAGCATTGAAATTTTTGATGCATTGCCTATGGGTAGAAGCAGAGGGAGAAAAAGATCTGCACTGCGTTGGAAAGAGTAGGTGAAGAAGGGCTTGGTTGTGAAAGGCACTTGGTACTTGGTGAAAAAAGGAATGAATATCGTGCTGAATCGCGATGAATGAAGAGGCAATGTCTACGCCAGTAAAGAAGAAAGAAGATTATGAAACACCATTAGCAAATAAATTAAATAATTTATTTAAAAATAATTAATAAATGCACTTAACTGGTTTTCCACTTCATTAAAAAAATCATGCCATAAATATCATCT